ATGTCTCGGACATCTTGTACCTCTCTCACGCCTGGCCGACGCGCCAATTGATCGCAAGCCCACCGAGAACGACCCCTCCTTATACACTGTCCTCCAGAGAAATACAACCACCACCATGGCGTCTGCCGTCTTCTTCCTCGACCTCAAGGGCAAGACCCTGTTGGCGAGGAACTACCGAGGCGACATTCCCATGTCTGCTGTCGAGCAGTTCCCCGTTCTGCTCAGCGAAGCCGAAGAAGAGTCCTCCGCCGTGCCTCCTTGCTTCTCCCACGAGGGCATCAACTATCTCTACATCCGCCACAACAACCTGTACCTCCTCGCCCTGACGAAACGAAACACAAACGCCGCCGAAATTCTGCTCTTCCTACACAAGATTGTCGAGGTCTTCACCGAGTACTTCAAGGCCCTCGAGGAGGAATCGATTCGCGACAACTTTGTCGTTATTTATGAGCTGCTCGACGAGATGATGGACTTTGGCTACCCACAAACCACCGAGTCCAAGATTTTGCAAGAGTACATCACCCAGGAGTCGCACAAGCTCGATATTCAAGCCCGACCGCCCATCGCTGTCACGAACGCCGTGTCTTGGCGATCAGAGGGTATCCGTTATCGCAAGAACGAGGTCTTCCTTGACGTTGTCGAGTCCCTCAACTTGCTCGTCGGCGCAAACGGCAATGTCCTGCGTTCGGAAATTCTCGGTGCCGTCAAGATGAAATGTTACCTCAGCGGTATGCCCGAGCTGCGCCTCGGCCTCAACGACAAGGTCATGTTCGAAACGACGGGGCGCACGACTCGTGGCAAGGCCATTGAGATGGAAGATGTCAAGTTCCACCAGTGCGTGCGGCTTTCGCGCTTCGAAAACGACCGCACCATATCCTTTATCCCCCCCGACGGCGAGTTTGAGCTCATGAGCTACCGCCTGAACACGCAGGTCAAGCCGCTGATCTGGGTCGAGTGCCTGGTCGAGTCTCACTCGGGGTCTCGTGTCGAGTACATGCTCAAGGCCAAGGCTCAGTTCAAGCGCCGCAGTACCGCCAACAACGTTGAGATTATCGTTCCCGTGCCTGACGACGCCGACACACCACGCTTCAGGACGAATATTGGCGCTGTTCACTACGCCCCCGAGCAGAGCGCAATCGTGTGGAAGATTAAGCAGTTCGGAGGTGGCAAGGAATTCCTGATGCGCGCTGAGCTGGGTCTGCCCTCTGTTCGAGGTGATGACGAGCATGGTGGCGGTATGACAGGCGGCTTCGGCGGCAGCATGGGTGGTGTTGGTGCACCTGGCAAGGGTGCGAAGCGGCCCATTCAGGTCAAGTTTGAAATCCCTTACTTCACGACAAGTGGCATCCAGGTGCGCTACTTGAAGATTACAGAACCCAAGGTATGTTACGCCCCGGATTCAAGCTGAACGCACCGCGTCTGACAACCTTTTAGTTGCAATACCCCTCCTTACCCTGGGTCAGGTATATCACACAGTCAGGAGACATCGCTGTCAGGCTACCAGACGTGGTCTGAACGAGGAGTAAAGGGAAAAGATGCATCAAATCGAGGGTCCGCTTATGGCCTGCTCAGCACAATGATCCTCGTAGTGAGGGCGGCAACGTCGACAAAGGCCGGCCGTGTCTGCAGCCGCCACCTGGCGCGAGTGGGCTCCTAGCTAGGAGGCAATCCGCTCCATAGTGCAAGAAAAGCGTGAGGAGCAGCGGGCGCACCACGAGGTCACCGCGTTGTGTTTATGAAAGGCGATGATGTGGCATAGAACATAGCAAGACGCAAGGTGCAACGGATAAAACGATTTTCACCCTTTGCCCCATACTTCCCTTCGCACTTGCCATGCTTTAGCTCGTCAAGGCTGACGAATGGAACTAGACATGAAGTACGAGAGGCCGTCGCGACATGCATGTCGTGAGACGCTGTCAGGGGGCTCGCCAATCTTTTCTTCATCTACGAGATGATGGGTTTGCCACTTCAACAGCATGAAACCCGCAAGGCGGTGTGAGGCGCGCTACACCGTACATACCTTTGAAAAGCTATGAGGTTTCGACCGGGAAAGGAACATAACGTGTCGGTGGGCGTGCGCTGCGCAAGGCCTCCAAAAGGTGTGCTCAGAATGAGCGAGCCAGTCGGCCCAAGTTGAATTGGTGCTGCTTCGTACTCCTCAACTGTCCATACGAGTTCATGATGCATCGCCTCGCTGGGGTCACAACGCCTCGCTACTCGATGCCCCAATTTTGCGCGCAATCGCAAAGCCCAATGCCTGGCACACTCTGCCACAAATTTGACGCGGTGCTTCCGGCAGTCAATCTTTCCCAGCACCCACTATCTTTTGTCACCACTAGTACAGTGTATCCCTCCCAAAGACGACGCCAGCTCTCCCGGAATATCAATGTTTTCGCAGCCGTTGAGGCTAATACGAGCCCTTGTTGAATGTATATCGTCCAGATCTAACACGGTCGCTCACACCCTTGCCTTCTTTGACGCTCTCTCCTCCCCATCGTCCCCCGTAGCCGAACCCTGCGCGTTCACGTGCGCGAGAGCAATGGCTTCGAGAAGGAGCTTCTTCTCACCCAGTCTCACCACCACAGCCATCCGTCGGCGGGCGGGGAGGTCCGCCTCGGCCAGCAGCTTCTCGTCCGTCTCGATGGAGGTCGGGTACTGCGCGAGCCGCACCTTGAGTACCTCGGCGATGACGGCGTCGCAAATCTCGTCGCGCTTGCGCTTGTCCGGGATGCGCTCGCTGTCGAGTTTCTTCACGGCCTTCAGAAACTCCTTGAGCTGCTCTACGAGCTCGGGCGAAACTTCGCGCAGGACGGCAGGGGCTGTGAAGCGGCCGTCGGGGCCGGGCTCGCCCGAATCGCGCTCTATGACAAAATAGTCTTCGATTTCCTCGTCGTCAATCTGGCTCTCCTATACGCACGGTTCAGTTGAGTTTTGTGGCAAGATGGAGGGCCGGTCAGACTTACGACTTGTTTCCAAGCTTCGGCAGAGAGACTGAGGCAGGAAACTATGACCTCCTTCACGAGTGTCCACGGCACCTCGACAACGTCGTAACGACTGTGCTCCGGCGTGACGTAGCCGTATCGCCTCAGCAGCTCCGATGTCGGCAGGGGTCCGTAGTAGTTGAGAACTTGGTCACCAGCCCTGATGTCGGCGCGAATAGCTGTTGCTTCGAGGCTTTCTCCGTGGTTGATGTGCGCCTGAAATGTCATGATCAGTCCCTGGTGCACAAGTGGAAGTGGGGCGTGAAGTTGTGGCAAGTACGAACATTGAACTCGGCGTTCGCATTCAGTGTATCCGCCATAGGCACCATGCCCAGCATCGTTCTGCCCTCTCGATCTTCGACCCAGCCGTCCTCCTCATTCTCATTCTCATCGTCATTCTCGAGATCGAAAGCATACGCCATGATGGTGCTGCCCATACGATGCGCCAGGTGCAGGAGCTCATCCTCCGTGGGTTGAGCGGCGCCCTCTGGGTAGAAGATGGCGGGGTTCGCCTGGACGATGGGCAGGATCTTGGAGCGGAACATGGCGTCGCTCTCGACCTTGCCAATCTTCTCAGCCGTCAGGGAGGTGCCTTGGAGCTCGAGAAGCTCGCCGTCGGACCAGAAGATGGGCGTGTCGAACTGCTGCGGCAAAATGTCGAAATAGGGCTTCCATCGCGAAGAATCCCCCTGGAGGACTTCGTACAGCATGACGAGGATCAGCTGACCCCAAGAATCCAAGGGCTCGGCGTTGTCGTCCATCTCGTCGATGGAGCCGTCGAAGACTTGAGGCAGCTTCTGGGGAAGCTCGGACGTCAGGACGTTGATGATGGCCTGACGGGGAATTGTGAAGAGGGTTGTCTCTTCAGGGATATCACGCGTAGCGACTGTCGTCATGTTAGTATGGGTATGTTCAGAAGGTGAAGGTGAGCCTGTGGGGTCTCACTGATGCCGCGACCGGCGGCCTGCGGCCTCAGGTCGACGATCTGCAGGAGGTCATCGCGGAACTCGCCGCCAGCGGCCTTGAACCACTGTAGAAAGCGATCCGACAGGGCCTGAAAGTCGTCCATGATGAGTTTCAACACGGATGATGCAGGCGGCGGGTTGAGATGAGCCGTGGGGAATTGTTCGTCTTTTTGTGAGATGGTGTTCGTCTTTTTGTGAGATGGTGTAGGGAAAATCTGGACTGAGACGGAGAAAGAGTAATGCAGCTCCAGAGGCGAAAGGTTCGCTTCTGCGATTGGCTATTACCGCAAGAGGGTGGATCAGCTTTCCAAGGCCATGAATATGGAGGTGCGCGCGACGGATGCAAAAGTACTATGGTGAGGAACAATTGATTGAAGCTATACGGTCTTTCTCTTCTCGTGCTAGCCCTCGCTGTCTATCCAGCTGATTCGCTATTTCAGAGTCCAGCAGCTCCAATGTGTGCATTGACAAACAGAGATTAAGCTAGCAAGATGTCGTGATATCGTGATGATTTGCGGGGTGAAGCGGCAAGAGTGGGCCATCCGGGCGAGACGTGGGTCCGCACGGTGTGCTTAACATGGAAAGCAAGGTAGTCGGCGCCCGTCGGCGGCTACACAGATGCCAGCAGAGAGGGTTCATAGACTGTTTCTTTTCCTTGCAGCTTCATGACGATCCATTCTGGAGGTCTGTCAAATTCTGAAATGTGCGCCTCACTACATGGAGCAGAGTCTGTGAGGAGGTGCTCTGGCACAACATCCCAACCAGACAGTGGGGAATCCCGGGCACGGTGACCCCTGCCACTCCGGTCAACCCCCGCAGCCCCGGCCCGGGCTTTCCCTCCGCCTGTTATCCGCGCCCTTCGAGCACACGGCCTCATAAGGCGCCTTCTGATAACATCCAGTGTATGAATGAACCATCAAGCCGCTCGATCCCACAGTCGGCTACAGTCTTCCTCTATCATCACCAATCTGTCCATACCAAGTGCTCCAGATCCAGATCCAGATTCTCTCACCCAACTTGCTACAACCTTGCATTGCACAACCCAGCAACAACAACATGGCTCCCTCCGCTACCCAAGCATCAGCTGTACACTCTGAGGTGAACCCCGCCTCCAAGACGGCACAGATATCTCATGGTCATGAGCTCGCCCACCAGACGCCCCTCGAGGCCATCTCCCATGGCTCCGTCCCTCTGCCCGGCATCCCCGTCCACCCCAATTTCGCTGTCCACCGTGAGTGGATTCTCAATCATCTAGCCGCCGCCTTCCGCCACTGGTCTCGTTCCAACTACGTTGAGGGCTTCAGCGGTCACATATCGGTACGCGACCCGGAAAATCCCTCGGCCTTCTGGACCAACCCACTCGGCGTCCACTTCGGCCTCCTCAAGGCCTCCGACATGATTCTCGTCGATTTCGACGGCGCCGTTATCGGGGGTAATCGCACAAGACCCCCGAACAAGGCCGGCTTTCTCATTCATTCGGCCGTCCACCAGGCCCGACCTGACGTCCACGCCGTCTGCCACGCCCATAGCATCTACGGCAAGGCCTGGTCCGTCTTTGGTCGCCGCCTCGACATGATCACGCAGGACGCCTGCAAGTTCTACGGCGACGCCCAGGCAGTCTACAATTCCTACGGTGGTGTCGTGCTCGGCGCCGAAGAGGGCCACCGCATCGCTGCCGCTCTCGGCCCCCGCGGCAAGGGCGCCATCTTGCGTAACCACGGTCTATTGACAGTCGGCCACACCGTCGACGAGGCCGCCTTCCTCTTCACCAGCATGGAGCGCAGCTGCCAGGTCCAACTGCTCGCCGAGGGCGTTCATGGCATCCCCAAGGTCCTCATCACCGATGAAGAGGCCGAGTTCAACCGCGACGTTGAGGCGGACCCTGAATACTGTTACTGCGAGTTTCAAGTCTACTACGACCTGGAGGAGCATCTGTCCAATGGCGATTTTAAGAAATGAGCTGCCTGACAGCTCCTGGTATATTGTGTAATTATTTCTTCCCCTTTCTGCGTAAATATAGCATGCCAATCCAAGCTTTGGCCTCACGAACCTCAAGATTCCTGCTTAGTTTGAGTACCGAAGGCGCTCGCCTTATATGCCCCCCCCCCCTTCCCCAGGTTGCCCATACCCTTCATTGTCACGCCTCTGTGATCGTCGTAACGTGTAGGGCTGCATCAGTGTACAGCCGATTCGTAGCCCAGCACTTGGACCCCGGCCGGATCTTCCACATACTGTTTGGCCCTAACTGAAACTTTGCGCCATCCATTTGTACCTTCACTTTGCCCGTCGCCACAGAGCAAACACGTAGCCGTCCTTCTATGGCATCCCACTGTGTCGTGCAACCGGGCTTGACGACAACCACGTTGAAGCTGACGTCGGGCGAGATGGAGATAGGTTGGTTGGTGGTCAGGTACGAATTGGAGAAAGCAATGTCTATCACGGTTAGGTCTCCTCGACGGCATCGACCATATAGTGAGTACTTACTTTCTGCGGCTGGTGCCCTCTCATCACGGATCCGCCCTGGCGCCACCTCCCAGTCTTCCATCTCCAGTTCGTCTACATCCGCGCTGCTGCCGCGGCCCACACCCTCGTCATGTGCTGACCGACTTCGTGTTAGACCATGCCTTTGCATTTTCCGTGCGGAGTCCGCTTGCGTGGTCGAGGCAGCGGATGGCGGCCCATCTGATGTCTCAACCTCAGACTCTAGCTCCTGCTCTGGCTGCGAATCTGCATCCGACTCTGCCGCGAGCCGTGACGTAGACCGTCGGCTTTCAGCTGGATGTTCGCCGAGAATCGGGCTGGCTTCTTTTCGGGCGGCTCCTGTAAGCAAGGATCTGTCACCTTTCTTCGTCAGGTGCAAGCACGTGTTACGCTGGTGCCAGATCATTGATCGTCCCCAGCACGCACCACAGCCTTTGGCATCCTGCTTCAAAGCGGCGGACGCATTGACAGGGGGTAGGACGCAACTGTATCCTGCTTCAACGCACGCCGAACAGCCTTCCGGAGCGAGACGCCCAGTCAGGTAAAGCAGCGCGCTAGCAACAGTCGCAGAAGATTCGGCATTCTTGTTCGTGATGCTCCACCAAGAGGGAAGTTTGCGCAACATTGGGTACTGCAGGTATTCGGCAACGTGCTGCTTCCTACGAATCGGGGTGCTGGGCGGCAAGATTTTTTTGAGATAGACATAAATATCTTCGTTCTTCAACGAACCATCTGTAACGAATTCGCCGCCTCTCTCTTGGGCCCTCGTTGCTGCCGTGTTTCTCAGGCTGCTTTCGACCAGAGCAGAGATCGATTTCTGCGTCGACATCTGGCGAATACTAGCCAAAGACCTATCAAGCGCACTCGCTGCGTCTTTTCTCAGCTGCATCTGCTCCTCTGTGCGCTTTCTTGTCCGTTCATTCACGAAGGGGTTTGCAGGGGGTGGAGCCCCTGATTGGAGCGGGTTTTGAGTGATAATAATAGGTGGTGATGACGTCCCCTTATTGCGATATACGTCGATGAAGGAGATAGTTCCATCCATATTGTCGTTATACATGCCTCCCCAGTGCTTCCCTGTCATGTGCGCACAGATTGTGCTGACGGTGGTACTGAGCGACCTGCAGTTCCGAACAGGACAAATGTAGGGGAATACTGGGTCGTTCCAAAGTTGGTAGTTGGTGGGACATATACCACCGTTGTGGATGCGGGTGGTACCGTCGGGCTGAGGCCATTCAGTGTACGGTCTTCCTGCTGCAGTTTGGATTATGTTCTTTGCGGGCCCACCGATACGGAGGTCCTGGTCCACGGTGTCGTGCGCGAAAGTAGAATGCTCAAACTGGGTCGTTTCGTCGAAGGCTGTATCTTCGTCCATCAAATAACTGCGGTCGCGGAAACCTTTCGTTTTCTGTCTGTAGTCACTCCAGTTTCCTTCCGATGATGTGGCCCGTGGTCTTTTCCTATCGATCTTGATGATATGTGGCCGTGAACCAGAACCTAAAGGCCTGTGTTCGGTCATCTCGGTAGTTTGATGCGACGCAGCGAACGCCGGGATGAGAATATCCCCTGTTCCCTTGGATCTTTCTACCTCAGAGGTTCCGGGATCTTCTCGTGAACGCGATGTTTGTGCGGAATGGTTAGAGCGGACGCTGTCATTGCCATGCATCATCTCAGTTTGACGACCTTTGTAGCCTGTAAAGCGGGCTTCCGCAGTAGGCAACGAGCGTTTGCGCTTTGAGGACGATGCAGCTACTTGCATCAGTATCCATACCAGATCATACTGCATGGTACATACCTGTGTCAGCGCCGCCACTGTGATCCCTATCAAGACGAGGCACCTGAGCGCCTGTGATGGAA